GCAAGTACCAAGTACCACCACCACTCTACATGGTTATGTATATTATTCCAAATAAATAAATACTTGCATATGTTTACATTTTATGTATCTTACAAATTTACTCGAAAACTATGAAAGATAAAAAAAGTAGATGAAGAAGTGGAAGAAGAAGAAGAAGAATGCATCAAAGGATAGAACGGGATTTTATCTATGCGTTAGGTACGACGATAGTGAAAATCGATTATCTTCAGTATACCGAGCTTGCAGGATCATCGTCGTCTCTTTAGAGAAGAGATCATCCTTCACGAGTGGCTGGTTTTAAAGTACTCGCCGACATTCGCATCCTAGATGCATTGTATTTAACGCGAGATAAAGCAAATGACTAAAATCAAGATTAAGAGAGATGAAGATAAAAATAAAACGAAAGATAAAGAAGAATGAACTCGTGTTATATTTGTCAATAAAATCTCTCATCTTCTTCTTCCTCTCTTTTTTTTTTCTCAAGCGGTCACCCATCCAAATCGTACTCAAACGTTGCTTGACTCAAATGATCGTCAATTCAGTAATTTGATATAACTCCGTTATAATTAGTGTGAACTGATATCTATGTTTGGATATTTTTGATCAGGATCAGTATACATTTAAATTTCTATTTCAATTTTTGAAATTTCTAATACTAATTCTGAAAAGTGTAATGCTTATTGCTATCGTTATAAAAATGTATTTAAAAGTAAGTATCCATCATAAACAAACGTGGAAAGTTATAAAACATATAGGCTGTGAAAAAAAAATGTTTTGTTACAGTAAAAAAAGTATAACTTTTTACGTGCATACATAAATATACACACCAGTTGTTTTTTTTTTTTTTTTTCGAAATATCAAATGATTTTCTCTTTCTTATGATTTATTTCGTCTTGATACTAACTAATTCGTAATCTAATGCAAATATGTTTAAACGTTTTTTGAACATTATTGGATTTGGATGGGATACACCACAAGTTCTATTCGTGCTTTAGGTTATGGGATAATAATCAGAACGGAACGGTACGACCTCGAGCGTAAATGCGAATGCGCTGACTATGCTAACACACTCGGAGGCGTTCTATCTCTGCATAGTGCTATCTTTTAATCTTGGTGTATCTCTACGAATGCGTTCTTCCCAACTCAACAAAATCATTCCTTTTTATTCCTTTGTCACGCGTATGCGTTTATTGTATCACTCGAATTGTTAAAAATTTGATTATCCCGACCGAAAAAAGAAGAAGAAGAAAAGAAAAAACAAATACCACAGTGTGATAAATTAAGAAAAAAAGTAAATTCGTCAACTCACTTGTGAAAAAAGAAGGTTAGAAAGGGAAAGGATCAATAAAAAAAGTCCCCGAAGAAGATGATACAAAAAAATGATGATGTTTCGCGTGGAATTAAAAGTTAATGTATACGTTTTTAAAAAAAAACCAACCAGCCGCGTGACGACGACAAGGTAAACCTGATAGAGAGAATATCGAAAGTGAGAATAATAATACTTTCCATCGACGAATGACACAGCACGGCTTCCTCCCACCCCTCCCCCTAACCCCCCCTCTCTCTCTCTCTCTCTATCTCTCTCTCAAAAAAAATAAAAAGAAATCGCAAGGAATGTATTCGTCTCGAAGAATAAGAATAATAAAAAGAAGGATGATGATGATGACACGATGACGACGAGAATAAGAATAAAAATCAAAATAAAATATAAAAGAAAGAAATAAATCGTATTGGAAGAGGTGAAATAGGAAGAAGAGGAGGAGAATGAGGAGGATGAGGAGGATAGGTTGAAATACAAAGTTACCGTCTTAGATGGGTCGTCGGCGTGTAATGATATACGCGTAACTAAATTATGCGTCGGAGGTGGTATTCGATGTAACAACCTGTCATTCGGATTATCATCGAACGATTTTGACATCGGTCCCAAGCCATCTTCTTCTTCTTCTTCTTCTTCATCTTCTCCTCTTACTCTTACCATACTTCTTTATCCACACCCTCACATATATCCACATATCCACCTTTATTCTCATCTCTTTCTTTCTTTCTATTTCTTTCTATTTCTTTCTATTTCTTTCTTTCTCTCGGTACGATCGACGGACGATCCGATCCGATCCGATCCCTTCTCTATCGTACCGAGGAATCTGTGAACGCAAGGAAGCGAAAGAAGAAGAAAAAGAAAAAGAAGAAGAAGAAGAAGACCTGTTTCTTCGAACGCCTCTCTTCTTCTGATCGTAGAAGATGCCTCGAATCGATCTAATCTGCCACGAAAGATCTACACTCGCACGTGAGATAGAATGAAATATAGAAATAGACAAAAATGACATACAGTGAGAGAGAGAGAGAGAGAGAGAGAGAGAGATAAAATAGTTTGTAAAAACGAGACAAGATTCTTCTCGTTAGCCTTTATAAACTTTGTTAGTTCTATTATGTAGATAAGTTAATATAAAACATATGTATATATGTATGTATGTGGTGGTGTATATATAATACGCGTGTATACACGTGTCTAAATCAAGAATCTTCATTTTCAAGTATATCTTTTATAACATACAACATGTATAAACGATTCGATTGATATTTTATGCGTCAAGCGATAATAAAATCTTCGTTAATAAACAAACTCAACGTTTTTTAGCAAAGATTATCATAAAAAGAGGAGGAAGAGGGTCTTTTTCCATCGTCTGTTTTTTTTTTTCTTTCTTTTTCGAAAGATCGACATGTGTTTCTGGTAAGCTCGAAGCGTGTGAACGAGAAGAGGATAAAGAAGAATAAAAAGAATAAGAAGAAGAGGAGTAGAAAACACGTAGACGTAAAAGTAAAAAGGAAACACACACAGAGAAAAAGAGAGAGAGAGAGAGAGAGAGAGAGAGATAGAACTAATGTAAGTCTCAATCTTTTTAAATTCTTACTGTCTCTGACCTTTGACTTTCCTTTTTTCTATCCTTAACCTTATCCTCATCCTCATCATCTTTCATCTGTAAATTATCTACTTTTGTAGTATCGAGACACTGTCAAGCCACTTAAAAGATACTCGGACATAGTCGTCGTCATCGTCGTCATATGCTAAATACGAATAAGAAGACTTTGAATTTATCGAAGGTTAAATTCGGCGGACTCGTGTATCCCCATGAACCCCCCTTCTTCCCCTTATGGTCTGGTCTAACGAAGAGAAACAGAGAAAGAGAAAGAGAAATATAAAAAAGAATAAAAATAAAATACAAAAAAAAAAAGATCTCGCGTATAATCTCGGACTCTCAGCAAAGAAATGAATGGCCTTGGGTAGAGAAATACCATTTATGTTAGTCTTACGATTTACGACCAATAAACTGTATCTATCTTTTTCCTCCCCAACTATATATATATATATATATATATCTTTATCTTCTCTCTTTCTCTCTTTCTCTAACTCTAACTTCTTTATTTATTTCTTTAGATTTTTCTCACGAGAAATCTTAAAAGCTTTTAATATGCATATTTCCTAGGAGTAGGAGGAGGTGGGAAGGTGGATAAGAAACCAAATTTAGAATTCGACGAATTTGTTCTAACCATTTCCCGAATAAAATTTATCGGTGATTGGTCATGCACAAACACACACACACACACACACACACATATACACAGACGCGTTCGGGGAAGCAATATTATATAAAATGGCATTTCTGAAGGAAGTAGTAAGACCTTCTAGAAGAAATAGAAGAAGAAGATGATGATGATGAAAAAGAAGAAAAAGAAGTTGCAACTTCCCGAGTTGTTGCCGCAAAGTATTCGCGAGCATCTAAAACGCGTTACCTGCGGTAAAATTTACCTCTTCGTCTTGGAATCCTCTTGTTTCTAACGCGCGAGAATATCGGTTCCTAGTTTCAACGTAAGCACACTAACTCGATACGCATACACGGTGCATCATCATCACCAGCAACAGCAACAGTAATCCAATGTGCATACAACACACACATATACAACAACGATAGACGAGTTGAGGTAAAAAAAACAGATGGGAACCGCAGCACATCGATGAACAACGAAGAAGAAGAAAATAAAGAAGAAGAAGAAGGAAGAAAATAAATTAGGATCGAATTCGCGGATAAAAAACCGGTCTTTTCGGTGTTTTTCGGGTGCCATTGGAAACGTTTAGTCCCTTTGCTGAAGCATCTAAAACAGATGTAGCTACGTAGGTTAAAACTGGGCTTTTGGTATGGGGAAGAATAAAGGGTGAACGATGAGAACAATAAAAAATACAAAAAAAACAAGGAGAAGGATAAGACTGAAGAATCTCTTTCGAACCAAGTGCAAAACGTGTTTTCGAATCTTCCACCGGAATATATCCTGGGCGTCACGTTCAATTTGTTGCGAGTTGCTAGACCGCAAGGAACGAAAACGATCGATAAAACTCGATGATGATCGATCCTCGTGAAAGAATACAAAAAAATAACACGAAGATAATCACGATGATGACGATGATTATAATGATGATGATGATGAATAATTGTAATCAGCAAATAAAGTTGATTCTCTAATAACGTTAATATTTCTCATTTTATCCGATAGATCAATAAAAATAGAAGAAAAATTATCTGAGAACTGTCCAAAGGCAAATCGATTTGATGACTCACGCAAAATATTTCTCGTTGGGGGTCATAAACGTTTGATCAGATTAAAACCCCCATCTCTAATATCCATATATGGATTCTCTGACATATAACAAGTGTGTGTATCGATAGATAATCATTATTAAATATTTTATCTAACATTATTATGGGGTGAATGTTAAATTAAAACATATCATAGTTGGGAATAAAAATGTAAACTCCTCCCACCTCCCCGCCCCTTTTTGAACAAACGATCAGATTTGATCATCCTAGATCGAATTATCGTGTTAACGAAGTAAACATGGCGAATCAAATGATACATGGTAAGCGTATGATCAATGAATGAATGAATGAATGAATGAATGAATAAATGATCGATAGATCGATTGATCCTTGTATACTCGTTGAACTCACGTTTACTCTTGCAAGGTAAAGCTCGAGTTCCTTGTATGGATCCATCTCAATGGTGGTGGTGGTGGTGGTTATGGTGTTGGTGGTAGTGGTGGTTGTTGTTGTTCTCCTACTTTCTTCTTGCTTAACCGTGTCAACGTCGATACCTGGCTCGACAATTTTCAAACAATTCTTCCTCGCTACCGGTAAGCAACCAGGTGCGATGTTCCCTCTCGAGGCATCGACCCGTAGGCCACCACTGTCTTCCATGGTCTCCATGCTCCAACGTCACCTTGACCTTACGCGCATTTTCTCGTACACCTGCAACCGGAACAAGATGTCTTAACCATTCTCTCTAATACCATTACTCTACAAATTTATTCTAATATTTATATATATATATATATATAAATATTTTATACATAGATATAATATATTATGTATATGTATTTATTATATTTGATATCATTTTTGTGTTTGAATAATATATTGTATGTTTGTTTTTTAATTTATAGTTTAGTTAAAAAGTTTAATAATAAAACAATTGAAATTTTAAATAAATATATTAATAATGTATATGTATGTATGTGTGTGTGTATTATGTTTAATATATGTACTTTTGTGTTCTTTTTATTTATTATACCACGGTTATTAATCTCTACTTGATTCGAATTTAAGAACCCGAGGAATATAATCCCAGCTTGTCAAACGTTTGAAAAGGGTAAAACGACCACCCTAATACTCCTTTAAGTCTGTTACATTTCCTCTAAATTTAGCGAGTCGTTCGCGTTAGTCACTAAGGAAGCTAATTATATTTCGCAGATTAGATTTCCTAAATTGAACTTTCAAAGAAGGGGAAAATAATTTACTAAATCGTTTAGTCGTTCTTTGAATATATTCAATGAACAACTTCCCCACGTAACTTTTGAACTATTTAAAAAGTACTCTTTCGGATTTTATCTCTATGGGAAATTAAACAATTTCATAAAAGTATTAGAGAACGATGCATTAACTAAAAAATATAATAAATAAATCAATAAATCGATACTGTATGGAATAATAATTGTAACAATATTAACCCTAGAACTACAAACTTATTTTTTTAACCCCCAAAATACAAATTGGCATATGAATTTTTGTGTTTTTTAATATCAAAGAAAATAGTAAAGAATAAATTCAATTTAATTCAAGTTTAATCGTACTGAAAAACTTTGATCAAATCTTCATTTAATTTAAGTTTACCTGAGGTTTAGATATCTACCCCAGTTAATAGTTCTAGGGTTAAATATCATAAAATATATATTACATAATAATAATAATAATAATAATAAAAATGAAAAAGAAAACTAGGCAACGGTTATGTAGGAAAAAAAAAACGCATACACACACACACACACCATCAGCAGCAGCAGCAACTGCAACAGTACCACATGCATCGCGTCTAAACTGAAACACCTTTCGAGAAAAACTAGTTTCTTGGTCGGTCGTTTGCGATAATAATAAAATCGCGTGTAAAGGGTATATCAAATATTGCAGTTATCGGTGTTAGGCCGATATCATTCCCGGGACTTTCTTGTTCGTAATGTTTTGACAAACACTTCGATAAAGTCTTGACGACCAGCCGCCGGTCGAGTTTCAAGATCGCGTATCTACATAAGTAGATACTCGAAAGATACCATATATACATATGATCCTCGTCGTTTCATTCGTTCCCATCAAACTCCTCTGTACAACCCCATGAACAATAATAATATTCACAACTTAAATAAAACGTAACTTTTCTTTTACCTAATCATATTTAAATCAATCGAATCATAAATAATAATTACAAATATTACACACGTATTTGCGGTATCGTTACTGCATTTGTTTATTTCAATTTCAAACAAAAAGAACAAACCAGAAGAAAAAGAATAAGAATAAGAAGTAAAAGAAAGAAAAATGATTGGGTAAGAGTGAAACTTTCGCCGAAAGGTATCGTCAACGACGAGAATTCGCATCAATGTGTGGCAGGGAGGGTGGGCAGGGAGGGGGGTATCGATCAAAGAAGATCTTTCGAAAACTTTCCCCATTTCTTTAGTTGATGGTCTTTAACCATAAACGGGATAAAGAAAGAGAGAGATGGAACATTACCTTCCGTATGACGTATATTGTGTGTGTGTATTTGTGTGTGTGCATGCAGTTCGTTCACGCGGCAAAAGTTCAGAAGAGATGAGGGCACCGCCGCGAGGAAACGCCGAGTTACGTAAGGTTAATTGCGGTCGTTCGAGTTGTGCCAGCAGCAAACCAGCTTCTCGCAACCGCTTCTCGGTGAGAGATGGTGATATGGTGGTGATGGTAATGGTAATGGTGGTGGTGGTGATTCGTGTATAGGAAATGTGCGCCAGAACGCAACAGCGCATCATCATTGGTCGTATTGGTGCATGAGTGCATACAAATGTGCATACAAATGTGCATACAAATGTGCATGAATATGTGTATGCATATGTGCATGCGTGTGTTAACGCACGTGCGCACGTTTCATCGTTCGACGATGCGATCATTATCATCGTCGTCGTCGTCGTCGTCGTCGTAGAACATTCCTTTTAAGGGGGAGGGGAAACTTAGGATTGGAATTCGTTCGATTATTATTCCGTTTGCTGATATTCCTTTGGAAAAATCATTTGATATAATACACTCGTGTGTTACTATCCTGTGTATTTTTTTTATTTTCATTTATTTGATTTATTTTATTTTTTTTTGGAGGGTGGTGGCACGAGTGGGGTTTCTTTTTTTTTTCATTTCCTCCATACCGTAACGAATGATTATTTTTGTCTTTTATCTCTTCGACGTAATTTCGTAATTTTATTATTATAGTTTTTTTTTTGTGCATCATTAAAATTAATGGAAGAAAAAAAAGGATATGCAAAATAAAGCGATAAAAACTAGGTAAGAACTAGGTGAAAACAGTAAGGACAACTAATTTTACGATAACACGTTGACTTTATGCGAAACGAGTTAATTACCTTACTTATATGCTTATCTGTTAGATGAGAGAACTCTATTACTTTTCAAATGGCAAACTTTTACGTAACGTCGTAACGAAGAATTTTCCTTGAAATTGGTCGGTAAAGGAAAAAAAAAAAAATTTGCATAAGAAAAAAAAAGAAAAAAAAAAAAAAAAGAAAAAAGGTAAAAAGAAAATTTATTTACATAGTGAACGTTTCAATAAACCAAGATCGATCGATCGATCGATCGTATCGTATATCGACTTCTATGTTTGCTTAGAAGTTGCCATTTCTCTCAAGAATTATCCTCGGATTCAACAGGTTACCTATTTTTAAAACTTGCTTTAAATATATATATATATATAACACGAATGGAAAATATATCGGGTCAACGGGGTATAAAGAAAACAGAAACTATGTTGTAACTAAAAATAAAAGGGAAAAAAAATATATAGAGAGGATAAACTTCGAAATAAAAAATGTAGATTCGAAGAAACAGGAAGAAATGAATTTAACACGCGTCATCGAACAGTCATACATATACGTAAAAATATATATAATTTAGATACATATATGTATATGCTTATCGTCAACCTTAATGCTCGTTTGCAAAATAAATTATTCGAAGTAAGAAAGTAATAGTTAAAGAATTGCAGAGCTTGACCCGATACGGTGGTGAACGACGAAGACAACGACAACGTTCTAACAAATAAAAACGCCTTTTCTAAGCCTACGCGATTGATAATAGAAAGAAGGAGAATAGAATCGATTAAAAAAATAAAAAGAAATGAAAAGTAAAAAAGAAACAGAACTGGTGTGTGTACTTATGTACGCACGTATGAAGTTACACTTCTTTTTAGCGTAACAAAACGAACATAACCTCAATAATCTCAAAAATAACTACAATTATCTCGCGTACCAATATAATACTCTAAATTAAAATTAAATACAATTGATAAAGGTTTTAATTATTATATACAATTGAATTTATTTATTTACGAACTACTTCATGTCGGTCAATTTGAAATCGTTTTTCCCGCGCATACGTAAATATCGACAACTTCGCGATGTCGATTATTTCGGTTGCATCTAACTTCACTTTTTAAAACGCGCGCCAAAAGAGGTATAACTTTAAAAAGATCTTTCGAGACAAATCCTAGAACTAACGTTTTAAATAATGATCGATGAATAAGTTAGTTGAACACGCAATAATAATTCATCCGCCTTCTATATTCGCAATAAGAAACATTTCTTTCTTTCCGATTTTATAACGCAATCGCCTACCAAGCGAACTATGATCGGAAAAAAATAAATGTATCTATGAAAGAGAGAAAGAGAGAAAGAAAAAGATAGATAAATAGATAGACACAAACTTGTGTGCGGCTTGCACAATGAAAATATTATTTGCACGCTAGCCTTATTTTACGATAAAAGATCGTTCTATGCGTTTTCAACTGTATTCACCATGCATTTTCTTTAATGCAAAAATCATTTCGTATTATTCTATGAATGAATAGTAACTCTATTGTACATACACATACACATATGTAACGTAACCAAAATAACAAGTCGACTATGTTAAAAATATGCAAAAGTATTTAATGCAATTCGGTTGATTTAATATGCAAATGACACGCGTATCAATCAACGATAAATCTTATCGAAAATTATGATCCTTAATATAATATATGAATGCATACGCGTATACAATTGGCATGTTGTTTTCGCGTCAGGAAAAATAACGTTCATCTTCTTCTTCCCTCCCTCCTCCCACCTCCTCATCCACCCCATTATTCGATTAAAGCCGTCCGTTCATTAATTCGACGAGAGTAAACCTAATGCCATGCTAATTCTTCGCGTGACGATGGTACAGTGTTGACCATGAGTCATGGTAATAATCTAACGAGAACTATATCTCGTATGTTTTAGCTCGAGTTTTATACTCGACATAAATGCATCAACAACGAGTAGCGTATATTATAATAGTTTTTTTTTTTTTTCTTAACTCGTTCAAATATACATTGTTTCATTTTTTTTTTACTAACGTTACATAACGGATACCATAAAATAATAATAAAACAACGCGTTAGTCATGTACAATAGTTAGAAAAAAATGATTCTATAAAATATTTCGAACATATTTTTCTCTTGAGATGTGTGTGTGTGTGTGTGTGTGTGTGTACATGTCTTATTATCAAATCAACTAGAATTTTTCTGCATGGTAGGTGTAAATGAGACAGGTACCAAAAATTAGTCTCATCCCATTTACGAAGTCTATTTACCATAATTATCTCTTTTTCTTTTTCTCTTGAAAAGAAACTACCAAGAAAATAA